ATTATTGAAACTACTAGTTATTTTATAGTTAGGTGTTAAGTAGATATTCCATAAAAAAAAAAAAAGTGTTACAAATATTTTGAATTCTTTTGTAAACAGTGACTGCGGGAGGATTCTTGTGCTCGGGAGCAATGCCCTTTTTGGGGGCCCATACATGCTTGAAAAAATAGTTCTCTCTAACACCCCACCAACCCAAATTTAAAAACATGGCCTACCACCTCATGCCTTAAATTAATGAACTACTCATGCGTCACAAAGCATATAGTTAGAACGAAGCAAAGATAATTTATCAGACAGAAACATGAACTTATTTCCTAAGAATCATATAGCTTATATAAGCTAGAGTTTGAAAAAATTCAGAGATTGTGTGCCAAATTTAGCCATTTTATTTATTGGTGTTTAGATGTTAAATTTTCGTGTATTTTTTTGCAGCAAACTGGTCAATGATATGATCAAAATTTATCAGATCAATAGTTTGTCAGGCATTCCTGTGTCATGGTTGACCGAAGATGACTTTTATGATTTTTCATTTACTAAAAGATCTCTCACAATTGGCAACAGAGACAGGCGTTGTCAATAGAATTTGCAAGGCTGTGTGCAGGTTTGGAGAAATGTCTTTCCCATATTGAACAGTTGCGTTCAGCAACTCTGCTGTAGTTTCTGGTAGTGAGGTTTTTGAATTCCATATTTTCCGAAATACCATATGGCAATCCAATATATCTTGATAAAGTGAAACTCCCTCGACATCACCTTCCTGTGTATTGGCAAAGTCAGCACACTTGAGTAGCTACATGTATAGATCAATGTCACCACTGATGAGAGATTTGACATCCAAGAGAAAACTAAACTGGGAATTCGGATCTCAAAGTCGTTTGCTATGGTCCTGGTTTACTTGAACCAGTCTGTTTACAACGATGTTTATTACCATGCTTATCTCTTGCACAAAGCTATTCCCTCATCAATTGCTTCCTCACCAGACAGTCTGTGCCTACGTCTAATATGTCTATTGGTGGAGATGCCCCATGTTTCTGTAAGCTCTAGGTCTTTGTCAATTGAGCTTTGACGTAACTGAGAATACTTTGGTTGTAAATGCCCCTTCAAGGCGGAAAGATCAGCTGCTGCTTCTTGCAGATTCATATTCAGAGATGGTAGACGTTTTTTGAACAACATTGATTTTTGTAAGACATGTTCTCAAAAGTATAGGAAACAAATTAAATAAAAAGTCAGAAGACTGGGAGTGTCCAAGCTTTCGCTCTTGTATCCGTTGTCTCCAGATAACATTCGTTCAGGGATTGAAGAAACTCGATACGATCATCAAATGAACTCGCATTTATGCACACTGCCCCTTCTTTAATGCTCCAACGAGTGTCAGAGTCTATTTTCACAACTAAGTTCCGTTTTTCATTCAACTTTCTACCATCGAGTGGTTGATCCAGAAAAGAAGACAAATACTTGTTTTAACCCTCCAAAGAATGTAATTATGGAGGGATTAACAGACGCAGTGTGAATTTTAGCCAAATTAAGAGAGTGGTTTTCGCAATTTATAAGTGTTGCCTTGGAGTTCTTCTCATGAAACCTCGCCTGAATGCCACTGAGATGTTCTGACATAAAAGCTATATTGTCGTACATATAAGCCCGACATTCAAGAAAATCAAACCCATCTTTATGAAGTATCTCAATGATTATATCCTCATACCCAGCAGCATCCTTTTTCTGAAGCTCCAAGAAATTGACAAATGCTTCCTGTATATCTACTTCACCCGTGTTAAAATTAAGTCGGACATACCGAATTACTTTGGATAATTGCCCTGCGTATGACACATCAGGAGTTGAGTCGAAAAGAATACCAAAGTATTTTGCCTTCTTGATTTCACTTGTGATTTTGTTTCTAACTGTGTTGGCTAACAGAGAAACGAATTCATTTTATATGAAGTATAAGAAATAGGACAAGAAATGTAGGTTTCCTAGAACTCTCGATAGATTGCGAACTATTACTGGATCATAGTTGGGAAGAAACTTGAAACCTATTAGAAAATTTCCTGGATTAGGATCATCCATGTTTTCTACATGACCTCTTACAGCAAGGTTTTGTGAGGACAGGAGCTTTACCACGTCAAGAAGTATTTTAAATACCTCCCTACAATGATATCATTGGCCCTGAATTTGCTTATCTAAGACTTCATGGACCCCACCTTATTTCTTCAGTACCCACTCCATCTATTTCTATTTGATGAATGCCCTCTGATGGTGTGGATTTTGCTCGTAATTTTTCAGCTTCACCATTTGTTTTCCAACTGGAGAAACCAGATTCTGATTCAAAGGCCAATTTTTAACTTGGGGGACTATATTAAAAAAGTAAACAACAAAAGCAGAATGGTATTTCTTTCTTGACTGTATATTTTAGCCATGTGCGTGAGATATGTTCTCCATTTTGTAGGTCTTTGATGAACTAGTTTTGGTCAAACCTAGGCTCACAGCCTTTGTCACATATTGTTCTCCTGGGAGGATAGCACTTGTAAATTGGTAAGAGCTGGACCAAGTTTCACCATCGCTTCTTTTAGCGATTGTTCAATACTAGGTGGCCCACTCAATGAAAAATTATCGTAACTGATATCCTTGAAAACCAGAACAGCTGGTTGAGTAATGTTTTGAACAGAATCAGCTTCGGCTTTCACTTTCAGTTACACTGCAACTTAAATTGTCGTCTTCACCTGTTATATCTTCTCTCTCACTTGGGTCTTTCCAGTGTTTATTTCGAATTCTTCCCTTTCACTGTCTCTTGATTTTGGTGAATATGAATTCCACTCTTTATCGTCTTATTTCTTATCAAGTAAAGTAATGACTGCTTTTTTAGAAAGGGTTAAAAAGAACCCTTTCAAAAAAGCAGTCATTACTTTACTTGATATTTTCGCTTCTTGACATTCTTTATTTCTACGTTTTCTATTCTGGGGTCCATTAAATTTCTATCCAACCATGTTTAATGTGTGAATTTATATTTGTGAATCAATTCAACTATATACTGAGCAATAGTTGATGTTGTAGGTCTACAATCGATAGTCATGCGAAAATATAGTTTGGCCCCAGTTTAATGTAAGACCTAGATCTTTACAGGTACCTTCCACTGGTATAAAAGTCCAAATAGGAAACTATATATAAATTGTTCGAAAAAATTAAACCAATAAATAAAATAATAGAAATAGGAAGTGATTATCTGAAATGAAATATAGTATTTAAATAATTGGTGACCAGTTCCAGATGGCTCCCCTTCGTGTGGCGCCCAGTGGCAATTTCCCCCTCCCGACCCCTTTCGCGTCATCACTGATTTATGTGTAAGGCCTTGTTAATACTATCAACCCTGTTGTATCGGCCATAATCTTGTCAACAGTGTTCAAGTGATAACCTCTTTAACACATAGTTAAACATTTTTCAATAAAAAAACATTACCGAGATAAAATCCGTTTTCTGTATTTTATTATTATTATAGAAACATAGTAATTACTGTCGTCAGAGGGCCTGACATTAGGTGTTTACGTCACAGAGGAACCTACAAGCATGTGGAACAGTCGCCGTCTATATAAAGGAGGCACCTGGTGATAATCTTCGGCTTCTCGGAAGTCCTGTTAGGAGAGTTAGAGTGAATTGTTTGTTAAGTTACGTTAAATGGCAGCATCAACTGTGGTAAGTTACTGTCAATTTTTTTTTTTATGAAACAAATCTAAAATGATATGCTCAGCATAACTGAAGAAGTAGCTTGCCACGAGTTTCGGCAGTTGCATTGCAGTATGGGAAAATTTAGCTCGTTTAAAATGCTCTTGTAATTTATATAGCGGGCGTGTAACTGGAAGTATGTAACGTAATTAAGTTTATACTGTGCAGTATCGCGTTAAACTTTTAATACTGGAAATCAGTGCATAGCATACACACAATTTAAATTACTTGCAGTTTGTTCTCCAGAAGAAGAATAGTCAACTATTCGAAAGCGCTCGAGTCTATTACACTTTATATGTGATCCTTTGTGCTAACTCTTTTTATCAAAATCAACATAATACTAATAGACTTATAAAACAAAACTATTGAAGTGGGTATTGGTCAACAAAATTGGGAAACGGATTATTAAAGAATTAAAGCTAAAATTTCGACTCTCAAGGTTTTAAATTATTTAAATAGCGAAAGTTAGTAAAATTTCATTTATCCTAAGTACATTTGTAAACAGTAGGCTCTATCATTATAATACAACTGTTCTTATTTGATGAATAATTATTTAATCTAATAGTAATACCCTCGATGGCTCTGCTGTAAGCATGAGGATTATAACGAAAATTCAGGATTTGATCATATGGATGCTATAGCCCAGATGATCTTTTATGCTTAACAAAAAAAAAACTATAACTACAGTTTAGTAGATGTTATTGTAAATAATATAAAAATAACTTTACATATTGAAAAATTGGTTTTGAAATTCCAAAAATGCTAATATTTGGACTTTATAAAGTTTGGTAAACTTTGAGTTGAATGTTTTTAACCAAGTATTGAGCCTCTTTTTTCTTTTCTTTGCAAAATGTCTGTTTTATCATTGTATTTTACTATAAATTATGTTTTTACATACTCTTAAAATTCTATAAGCAAAAATTAAAAGAGTGGAATATAAAACTTTGATTAGCCATTGGCATGAAAATGGTAACTACAGACAGAGTAAAATGGGATTTCTACTTCATGAATAGAGTGAATGTTTGATCCTTCACTTTTGTGTAGCTTGTGTACCTAATAGTTAAAGGAAAACTTATTTTCTAAGAATTAAGTTATTATTGTACTGATCATAACAGTTCAAAAATTGATTCATATATTTGCTGAAAACTAAGAAAGTTATTACACTTTACAAACAGAGTAACATTTGTTGAATGTTTTCTATTTCATATCTTGTGTGTGTGGTTGTTTTTTTAGTGAAACACAGAATAAACTATTTTTTGTTCACTATTTGTAACCATTCCTATCCAGGAAATGGGTTGAGATTAGACTAGTTTTTTTAATGTTGAAAATATTCATGAAAATTTGTCCTTGTTTTTTGGCTTTTGTTAAAATATGCCAGAAAACTAACAGGTTGTAGAGTTATAGAACTGAAATTAAATTTGATATAACTATTAAAAATGGGATGGAGTAAATTTAACATTGTATGTGGACATTAAGGGATCATTTTGTCCTTCAAAGCTATCCTTATCATCTACCTTTGAGAAAAGTAAAAACTTAAATCCACCCTTTATTTATCAGGAAATTGCTGATTTCCTTCTTAAACTCCTGTAAAGTGATGCCATCCACTACAGCCAATGGCAACTCATTTCATGAGCCAATTGCCCTGTTAGAAAAATAAAACCATCTTAACTCGAGCCAGGTCTGGTTCTTCCAAATCTTAAATTTCTGTCCTCTGATCATATTATCTAAGAATATGGCACAAAGAAATTGGAGGCCTTTGTCTTATCAATCCCCACATCTTGTAGACTTCTGTCACCCTTCTTTTCTCAAAGCAGATTTTTAACCTATCTCTGTAGGATATTTAATTCATCTTAGTACAACTTTACTGAACCTTTCATACTGAGCTAGAACCCTTTCTTGGGTAAGGAAGCCAGAACTGTACACTGTCTTACAAGGAATGCCTAACTAATGATTTGTGTAAAGATAATTATTGATATGTAATCAGTATGTCAAACTCCCTGCCTGATACTGTTCTCTGAGCAGACCTTGCAGGACACAAGCTACAAATATTGTTACAGAATATTAATTAGACAATTCATGATTAATGTAGCTAGTCATATATGTTCTTGAGTTGGAAAATTTTGATGTGTGAGAAAACTGTTTATTAAAGTTCATTCACTACTTTTAAAAGCACTGTAGTTATCAGTTTTCTTGTATTGTGATTTATTTACCTTTTGTTCCAACATGCCTTTTGAATGTCATGAATGGAGCTGAACAATTTTACTTAACTGAATATAATCAGCTACTTATGAGTATCATTTACATTGATAAGTGTCACTTAAAATAATTGATTAATCAAAATTACAGATAAATTCAATAATGTCAAGAAAATAGTCAATTAATCAAAATTAATTTTTCCACTTATAACTTTTGAGTTATTCCAACTATCTGTCTCATGTGAAGATCAATTATCTGAGTGTCATTGATTAATGAGTCTCTCAGATAATTTGTTAGCAGGCTCTACTAATTTCACTTTAGTCATAATGAGTTTTTAAGATGAGAAAAAACATGTTTACAATGTTCCTTCAGGAATCAAAATTGACAATAGGAACTATTAATGATCAGAATGATTTTTTTTGTTTTCTAAATAATATGGCCTTTCTTCCAAACTTTTACTGACTAATCACCAAACTATTATCCTCATTTATGGGGAAGGCTTCGTACTCTGCAGTTTGACAGTTTTGTGTATTGTACAATAAAAAAAGCCAGTGTAATGATGTCAGAAAAAACATTGCAAAATTTCTGTGAAGATCAGGGCAACAAAGAATTATAAACCAATTAGTAGCACTGATTATTATAGTTTTTGATATTTTTGAGTAGGTTGAAGTCTCCACAAAAACAAGATGATAAAGACAAACATTAAAAAGTTCCTATTTATACTTATGATAAAACTATAAAAATGATTGCTGAAAGCTACTTTTACCTGCAGTACATTTGAGCCACATATTGATTCTGATAGTAGAAACTGTTGTCTCAACTGGTAATATTTTTCTCTTTTTTTTTATTTATGTGTTGTTCAAAAGAATTGTTTCATATTGTAAAAGTTCTATTTAAACTTGCCTCAACACTGAATTTCAGTTGTAAGTTTTTAGACATTTCATTGTTTTTGGTAGATGGAGGGTGGTTGATTAAATCTTGCTTAGTTACAATGAAACAAGTTAAATTTTACAGTTGTTGACATCCATTCAAGAACAGTTTTTATGAGGTGTAAAAGATGCGGTTGAATTGGCAGTACTATTCCAAAAAAATTAAAATTCCAAGCCCTACTACGGACCCTTGAATAGAATTTTACGTGATACCCTAAGTTGACTAATGACGCTCTGTCTTCAGTGAACATTAGTGAAGTTTATTGTATTTTGTTTCAAACTGCACAGGTTAATAAAACTGGAAGTAAGGTACATGAAATTATGATATGTTTGAATATGTTTTTCTATTTTATAAGTGGTTGGTATTTTTAAGATGGTTTAATTCACCTGTATAATTATAAACCAAGCTAGGTTTGCATCTGTAGCTTTTTTCCTTGTAAAACTTGTACTTTAAAGCAAAACCATATTTTATGAGGTGTATAATTATATACATGTATATATATATTTAGCCAAAGTTATACAGAAGCGTGATAGAAGATGTCGTCAACAATCTTAGGGAAGCCTTTCTAGATGAAGGTGTAGATGAACAGGTACTCATAGAACTAAAACAAGTAGGTTTCATTCTGCAGAATATCCTCTTGAATTGTCTATTATTATTATTATTATTACACTAGTAATTGAAACTTGACATTCAGAATAAGCTTACTTGTGAATACAGATTTTTCATGAAAGAAAATATAAAACTGTTGAAGGAAAAAAAACATTTGTTAAAGCTACACTATATAAATATTAATGAATCTTGTATGTTTGTGGAATTAGTTGGTTTTTTAGTTGCATGTATTGTATAGAGGACTTCCTGGTAAATTAGTACATCTTGCATTAATATTCAAGCAAATACACAGTTTGTTTATGTTTAGCGTTTTAATAAAGATTGAGCTTTGTTTTTCTACAGTTTGTGGCCAATCTTGTTATTTCATTAAATGTTGATTCAGTCAGCAGTATATTTAGCATTACTTCATAATTGATATGTTTTGATTGAATCTCTTATTTACCTATCCAATACAACTGAAATGTTAATTAAGTTTCACCTGGATATACCACGTAGTGATACCTGATTTCTTAGTTAGTTTTGTATTGCACATAATTCTACTTCATTTCTTTGTTCTATATTCTATATCATAAAGGAAAACAACATGGATACATCAAAGGGAAATGTTACCTTATTAATCTTATCTTTTATTCAAGGATGTTACTTGTTCTCTGGATATTTATATTTTGAAAGTTTTTAAAAGGTGCTACACAGAAGATTAGAGAAGAACATCATAAGTGGGGATTGGGGAAAAAACTAGTTAATTGAAGTGGAAGATGATTGGATGGCAGAAAGAAAGAAACTGTAATAAATGGACTCCAATTAAATGCCACAGGGCTTGGGTGTTTGCTCTTTAATTATTTATATTAATGATATTGATAGGAAAATAGTAAAGTTTGTAGATAACATTAAACTCTTGTGTATTTCTAGCTGTATTGAAGGTGTTGAGGTACTATGGAATGACATGAATTAGTTGGTTAGTTGGACAGATATTTGTAGAATGTCCTTGTAAGTGCAAGATAATTTATTTGGGTTATAATTTGAATCAGACATTCATTATCTGTAGGAATCCTCTGAGGAGTGTGACAAATAAAAAGGATTAGTCATTTCAGCCATTGAGGTAATATTCAGTTGATCATGGTACTTCTTCAAATTTCTTGATGTTTATATGAGAAGTGAGTCTGGAGTATGGCCCTCTAACCAATGCAGAATTTCCACAATGTCCACATGAGTATGTACACCACTAAAGAGCTATTACCTTGCATGCAACTGCTGTAGGAGTTTGTGCACGTGGCACAAACCTTGAACAAACTCCTATCCCTAATCATCACAATGTTGTAGCCCTTCACCAATAAGAGGACCACACAACCTCCATGTGCAGCAATCTCTGTGAGTACTAGCTTATGATCTTATGCTCATTCTTTTCTCAGCACTGGCTGTGCTTTCTCCTGTACTTTTTAAGTTTCTAATTGCTTTGGCTAACTGCCTTTTTCTACTTAGTGCTATATTACATTTTGTACTCAGCACTTTCATTCTACTTACCTGATGGCAACTTTGTTTTCTCTAACCAGCGTTTTTCTTCTTTATGCTACTTACAACAATGAATGCATATTTTAAAATATGTTTCAAGGCCCAGACAATCCTCTTGATGCATTATCTCTAACTGAGGCAACACTGGAGGCACCTTATTTGTTTATGTAGCTGAACGTTTAGTAGTTGTCCCATTAACTCATAGCTCATGTAGCAAAGCAAACTGCTGTCATATGACAGATCTTGAACTTCAGTCCATATCAAGGTATAATAGATATTGTGAACATATTAAATTACCATGTTCTTATAGGGCTGTTGTGAGCCATGGTATGACATGTTCACTACTGATATTTTCAACCATGATGTTAACACTATTTGTGCATCAGGAGTTTAGTTCCCTTCTGTCTGTTTTTTCTCCAATTCAAGTCTGTAGTCTCTCTGTTTCATTGTCTTCTGTAAAGCCTGCCTTAACTGTAGACAATTTTCACCAGCTCTTCCACCTGCTGCCTTTATTTCTGGCACTTCTCTTCCTTATGATAAACAGATACATCTTTCTTTTCTGTTTGTTATGCTGATAACTCGGGTATATAACTTTTTATCTTTTTGCCTGTATATCATAAGGGCTCTTTGGTTTATTTGCTTTGTGGTCCTCCTCCTTTCCCAACTCCATGTTGATCAGTATCTTCTTTGTTCTTCTTGTCTGTGATACTCCTTTGCTATGGCCTAAAAATCATGGCTATTCCATCTTTCTTGAACCCAATCTCTTGTATTCCTTCTGTCTGCTTGGTACACTCCTTCATGTCTTTCTTTCCTGCAATCTGCTTGTCTTCATCTTATTTCTACTTCCCCCTATCATTGTGGCTTCTTTGTGACCACTATACTTTTGATGAGGACATCCTTTCATCTGTGTTTGCCTCTTTTGGCTTCTATTTTTTTCCTCTACTGTCTCTGTTTTGACTTGGTTTCTCTGTTCTTGGGATATCCTTGGTGTAGATGCTTTTCTTTCGGATGTCAGTCACACTTCCTCTTCTCTCCTTCTTACCTCTTTTCACACTGCACCTTTCTTTAAAGGGGTGTTCCCAATTTCTTGAAATCTTGGGCTAGGGCTGTTTGGCAACAATCTTTCAATTCCCTGGTTTCCATCTCACTAGGCCACAAATACCTACATTGGCTAGCCAACCTCAGAAGTCCCATGGGCTACACCCTCTCCTGCTCCTTGTCCTATTGCTTCTACTTGCCATTTTCCTGCCCACAGAATGGGTATGCAAGATTCTCACTGGTAACCCTATTTTAGAGCTAATTCTTGGCTCTGGAAACTTTGGTACTCACCTCTCCCCCATGCAGCCTCCCTTTACTGGTGACCCATGGTTTGTGCAAGATCTTTCTTAAGATCTGTCCCTGCTTTTTGAACTCCATGTCCTCTTTTTCCTTATCCTCTCACCTAACCTTTTCCCTTTGCATCTGTGACATCTTTCTGGAAGTTTCTAGATTCTTGTACAGGGTAGGCTTATTTATCTCCTCTGCATCTTCACACCATTGGGATCTTGGTATCAAGGACTCTTCATTTTCATTTTCTTTCTTCGTGAGTTTAAAGAACTCTGGCTTCCTTCTATCCATGGGTTTCCTTTAATGGGATCTGGGGAATACGAGGCACATGTTTTTCAATCCCTTGTGCCCTTATGCCTATCCATCTTTACTTCAGTCTCTGTCATGGTGGCTCAAATACCCCCACATAACCTGGGGTACTCCATCCCTACTGACATGCATTTTAACACTGATGCTTTCTCTTCTGGCTTGGGGGTGCTGTTTTTGACCCCTCCACTCTCTCTGTGATATGATCTTCAGATGAGTTATCTCTGCTTATCAACATTCAGACATTGTCTGCAACTTTTTGGGCTTTCCTAATTCTTAATCATGGTTGCTTGGTCATCTCATGATGGTCCATTTCTGATTTTTTTTGTGGCACCCCATCCATTTTGACAATTGCCAGTTACTGAGCAGTGTTATCCACATATTTTGCCTCTTGCCTAGTATTATTCCCTTTCTTTCAGCTGTTATCTCCTTCTACTCATTTGTAATTCTCATCATTTGGACATTCATGTCTTCATTATCTCCAGTCTTCTAAATCATGTTGATTTGTTTCCTGTCTGCTTCTTTCTTTGACAGTCTTCAGCTGCCTGGAAGGGTGGTTGGTTGTTTTCTCCAATCTTTTTCCCTTCCATTTCCTCATTATACAATAATTTCATTTCCTATAATCTTTTATATCCAGTTCAGACTGTTGTCTGACATTTTGCTCAGACTGACTGGCATATTCTTCTTTGAAGGAGTCTAACTGAACACTTCATCACCTCTAGTCTTCCATTGGAGGGAATCTTACAGGCTGATATACAGACTTCACCTGAAACATTCATCTACCATTACTTTCATCACTGGGCAGTTTCATGTGACTATGGTTTTTGCCTCCCTCTGGTTGCCATTCTCCAGTCAGTCCAGAGGCTCTAATTTGCGAAGTTTTGCCTTTTTGTTTCCAGCTCCATCACTGATCTTACACATTCTCCATGTCCCTGACATATTTCATGACACCACCATGTGTATGTGTGTGTGTGTGTACTGATCTTTCATATACATCTTACAAAAAAAATAGAAATAGACATTACCTTAATTATGTTTGGCGTTATCAGATACTGTCGAGTATCTAGCATTTCCTCACTGGGCGTGCTTACACAAAACCCACATTGAGCTGGAGAGTACGGAATGTGTTAAACCTATCTGTTCCTCCTCAGTGCCAACTGTTGAGATGGGGTTTTCTACAAGACTGATTCAGCAGTATATTTATATAACTGACCTAGCTGTTTCCACACCTTATATATATATATATATATATATATATATATATATATATATATATATATACTACACGACTACTATATCATAGTA